CCCGCTGGGGACGAGGAAGGGGCCCGCCGCTCTCTGCCGCCGGCGATGCCGCTCCGGGGCCCCGCGGAACGCGAAGGCGCGCTGCGCCCCTTTCCCCGGTGCCCGCGGGGCCCTCTGCACCAGCGGACGCGCCTCGCGAGGGGCCCCAACGCGGCCCGCGGGGGCGAAGCCGCCGTCGCGGGCGGCAGCGAGGTCTCCCTTCGGCCAGGAGCAGCGGTGCTCGCGGAATTCGCGGCCCCGGGACTCGGGGGGTGGGCCGCTGCTTTAGCGAGCTTCGAAGGAGAACGAGGCCGGCTCGGGCGGCTGGGGGGTTGCGGGGCAAGGCCAAGTGACCGAGATGGAGCTTCCATCTGCAGAGACAGGCTATCCCTGAGGACCCGGCGTTGGGAGGGACGGAGTCAGAACAGGGAAGGGGGCTATTTTGGCCGGGCTGTTGCTGCTCGTAGGTTTTCCCCAGAAGCACCACCCTGGGCCGGCTTCTGTGTCCCAAGGAACCCCCCACCCCACCCCCGCAGCAGGATTTCGCCCCACTTTTAAAGAAATTTGGGAGGGCTGAGGATTCTGGAGCTGAACGTGGGGTGCTTCCTGAAGCCAAGGGGAGCATGTCCAAGACATGTTGGTCGTTTCGCAATAGGACCACCAATCTGGAATTTGCGAGGGGGTGGAGGGGAGGGCAAGGGAAAGAAACCGTTTGCTGATGGGCCTAAGTCACAGAGTAGGGCTCGGGGGAGAGATGGGGGTGGGTGGGGACCAGATGCTGCTCTGGATGAAGCTGTGAATTTCTCCCAGAACAATAGAGCTCATTTTTTCGCCAGCCTCTCAGGCTGCCTGCAGAAACGCACAGAACTCCAGGTAGATAGAACACCACGGTGGCTTCTGAAGACCCAGCGTGGCTTTTGTGGCTCCATTCCTGTTCCTTCCTTAAACTTGAGGAGGTGCTAAACTTGAGCATCCAAGCGGAGCTAAAAGCCTGGCTCAGAACATGCCGGGGTTCTATTCAGGGTCTCCTGAACAGCGTTAAAGAGCACCCTGAACTAGCGGCTTCCCACAGGGACCGGCTCTCTGCCTTGTTTTCTCCTGGGAACATCTTTTGGAAAGGAGCTTGGAGCGCAGGGCTTGGACCAGCCTTTGAACAGGTTGTTTGAGGCTGGAGTTTCAGTCCCAGTTGAGCCAGGAGTAAGTTGCACTGAACTCCGTGGTGTTTACTCTGAGTAGGTTAAGAGGGGTCACTTTAAAGCTCCCTTCGTGAAGTCCTTTGCTAGGGAATAAATCTCACTGAACTTGATAGGATAAACTTGGGAGTCCACTTGGATAGAATTGTACAAATAAAGTCCTTGAGACAGACAGACAGACAGACAGACAGATAGATAGATTTGGAGACTGCCAAATCGTCAGCAGGGGCCCTTTTGATACAGTGGTTTAAAGGCACCAGGCTAGAAACTGGGAGCTGTGAATTCTAATCCTGCCTTAAACACGAAACCAGCTGGGTGCCTTATTCTATCCCCATACATTGAACTAGGCGCCTCCAGCAAATTGCACAAATTACCACAGGGTAGGAAAACAATAGGGTTGTCTAGGAGCTTGCATTCAGAAGTAGACAGCATGTTCTTGCTACAGACGGCCCCCTTGGTATAGTGGTTAAAGGCAGCAGGCTAGAAACCGGGAGACGCAAGTTCTAGTCCTGCCTTAGAGACAAAGCCAATCCTCCTCTCTCCCCCCTAGGAAAAAGGCAAGGGCAAACCAGCTCTGGAAACGCTGGCAAAAAACTGTGTGGATTTGTCTGTGTAGATACACACATACACAAACACATACACTCCTTGGCATCAAACTGGGAGCCTGCAAGCGACAAGTCTTGTCGAAAAGTTGTTTTAATTTAGCCACACATCAGCACTGTGTTCGCTTGCTTCGGAATTGGATTTCCTTTTTTTTTTTAAGTGATGAAGTTGTTTCCCCCCAGCTACCCTTTGGCAATTATTGTCGGACAGATCGAAACTAAAAGGCTTATTTGAATTGAGAACAGGATCTAGCACATGCCCTGAACACACGATGATCCATTTGTGGGACTACCTTGAGCATGGAAGGGGCACTTCTTTATTTAAAGCAGTCTTTAATGTGTAATGGTTTGTGGGTGACAGCGTTGTGATGCTCTGGTGGTTCATGATGATGTAGCGAGTAGAAAATAAACTCCGTAAATAGGGGATTGAAAATCTGGATTTGGTTCCTCTGAGCCTCATTTCATGACCTTGAACCGGTTATTATATCTCAACCGAGCCTACCTTAAAAGCTTGTTGAGAGGATAAAACAGGGATAAAACTGAAAGACGTGTGGTGTGTATGCTTCCCTGAATTAAAGGGAGGAAAGTCAAGATACAAGTGTAAAAATTACGCAAGTGCTTGATATTCATTCCAGTATGGAATAATTTACCTAGCTGAAGCCTTGCAGTATCTGAAGATCCTTAGGGGCGCGGTGTTTCCCCCACCCCACCCGATGGGGATAAAATGGGGCTACCAAAAACTTCCTACATTTCAGAACAGGAAAGTATCCAAATTCTTGCGCCCATCTGTGGAAAGATTATTAACAGTGGGAAAGCACAGAGAACTCTATCATGAGTCAGTTCTCTGTGAAATGGATTAGGAGCGGGTTGGCTGTGAAGCAGATGGTGGTTTTTTTCTGTATTAGCAGAAGGGGAGAACGAAGCAGAAGTGTGTGCAGAGGAACCAAATGGCAATTCAAGGTTGCATAATTCCCATGAGGTTTACACAGCTCAGGAGACCTGGTCACTACTCTTATAGTTCTCCTTCCCTCCTCCTCCTCCTCCTCCTCCTCCTCCTCCTCTTCCTCTTCCTCTTCCTCCTTCTTACGGTGGTTGTTCTTATTATGATGCTGTATCTTTTAAACCTGGTTACTGAACAAAAAGGCTCTTCTCCCCCCAGTGATTTACAGTTTTAACTGGGGAAACAATGAAAGGCTCCACACTTCTGCCTAGCAGACATTCTCATCCAGTTCATCGCGAGGAAGAGCAGATCAGCTTTTGTGGAACGAACGGGGCAGACCTGAAGGACTTCATTCTTAGAAGCAGGGTTCAATTGTGCCCTAGGCGTGTTTTTTAAATAGAAGAAATAAGTGTGTGCCGGACATCCTCATGACACTGTGAACGCCTGTGCTATTTATTTATTTATTTGTTTGTTTGTTTGTTTGTTTGTTTGTTTGTTACAAAATAAAATGGGCGCAGGATTTAATTGGCAAGTCTAAATAGGTTTCCAATATTATTGGCCTTCCAGGAGAAGTTGAAAACAACTTTTCCGGAGGGCTTTATGGGGGCAGGTATTGTTTTGGGAAGTTTTAATGCACTGCCATTTTTTGTTTGATTGATTACTATGTTTCATTTATTACTGTGAGCCACTGAGGGTCTTCCATGATTGCAGTGTGATAGAAATTTGATAAGTAAAGAAATAAATAGGATAGGGCCAACAGCCTTGCTGCTGGACATGATGATGGTGATGATCGATGATGATGATGACGATTTTTATTGCCTTTTTCCTTTAAAGAGTTCAAGGTGCCATGCATGTTCCTTTCTTCCATGTTGTTCTACCCAAGGAGGTAAATCCTTCTGAGTGACAGTGACTGGCCCAGGCTTTTGTGATGAATTTCACACTCGAATGGGGATTTTGTGATTCTGTAGTTCCAGCTCAGCCTAACTGTGACACCGTTCTGGGTCCTCACTCTTTACCCCAGCTTCCTGCCTCCACCCCTGACAGGGGTTGCAACTCTCAGATTTCAAGAGACATTTTAAAGTGAGTGAGAAGATGGCCTCTCCTCTTCTTCCCATAGACTGAAGCCAGATCAACTGCAGTTGAATCTCTCCAGCAAAGCGGATATGTCCTCCACCTCTTCTGGAGTGGCCTGCTAGTGCAGAAGGCACCCATAGCTTTGTCCTCCTATAGAAGGAGAGGCCCAGGGAGGTCAAATAGAACAGATGGGAGATTGCTGTTATTCCCCACCTGCAAAAATGTGGGACCATCTCCTCACTCTACCTAAAAGTAGAAATGTTGTGTGTTAGTGTCACCTGATCTCAGCCATACTTTCCATCCCCCAGGCCGTCCAGTGAAGGCCCTGAGAGCAGGTCAAGGTTTTTGGTCCTGGAGTAGGACTTCGGAATCCATTGGATGAAACAAATTAATAACAGGGCATTTCTTGTGATAAAGGTGTCCCAGTCTGGGACGGCTTGCAAATAGTTAGAGGAGAGAGGTTGGACGCCTGGCTAAGGGAGAACGGCCGGGCTATTTATATGCCTGCTTTCCGGAATGCTGTACCGTGATGGGGCCTCCACCAGATACTGTTCAACTCGGCTCTCTGGTTTCCCGAGAGGGTATGTTGACACCTAGGAACTGATTAAGGCTGAACTCTCATGTCACAGCCAATGCTGAATCGTTCCTCATGTGTCTGTACTCCACTCTGCAGTTCCTGAATTGCTGAGAGCCTGGCAATAACGACTTGCAGGCACATCTCTAGGTGACCCAATCCTGGCTTGGTTTTTCTGGGAGGAAGAGGAACAGTGCTCAGCTGTGAAGGTCTTCACCTGCAAAGTTTCGACTGACCCTCTTATGAATTGCTGTCTTGCACCCACTGCCGCTAAACACTCAGTCAGTGGGTTTTATTGGGGGGTGGGAGGGAATATTTGGCCTCCTGATATTTGCCTTATGCTTGTCTCCATGAAGTTCTTCATTCCCAGCTTTGGTTACCACGTACAACATTCTTTGCTTATCTCCACTGGTAGTTGAAAGCAGCTGAATTATATTCATATCCTTGACCTGTGGAAAAAGGTTCGTTTAATATATGCTAATTGCTATTATTTAATCTCTTTTCTGTGATTCATTCGCATTCTCTCTCTCTCTCTCTCTCTCTCTCTCTCTCAAACCTAATTATTTTGTTTGCTGTTTCCGCTTAGCTTATTACCCAGCCGGGTATCTCCCTCCAGCTTTGGAAGGTAAATCCTCTCAAACATCTTGCTCAACTGCACATCGGTGGCATCAAAACGTTGGTGTGACTCACTGTCGTCCAGGGGTACTAACAGCTCTGCCTACATTGCCAGGATCTTGCACCCCCCTGCCTGCTTCTGTTCAGTGGTACCTTCCTTGCTGACTGTTGATTAAACCCATGTTGTGCTTGCTCAAGGACCAAGACGTTTCTGCCCAGCCACTTCATATACGTGTAGTCCATTTTTGAAAGAGGCCCTTGCTCTCAATCTGGCAGTAGTTAAAGGCTTGCTTGGGCTGGAAGAGAGAGATTACTCAGGTTCTCCACGGCTGAGTGGGGATTTGAATCTGGGCCTCCTGTGTCCCAGTCCAACATCTTAGCAGCTAGATTACATTGGCAAAGAGTTTAATTTCATGGAGCAGAGAACTGTTTCTCTTTTGCAGGACCTTTCAGTAAACGAGTCTTCTCCTTTAGGTGGCTTTCCACCTTTAGCACTGTGAAGGAAGCAGGAAATGGTAAAGGAAGGCCGCTATGGATCTATCAGCCAAATCAATGATTCTCCTTTATAAGCACCTTGTGCAGGGGATTATTTGCAAGGGGACAGAAGTTAGGAGTTGCTAAACCCATTCCCTGCCAGCCTTACTCTCCCCCATCTCTCTCCTTGTTACAAGATAAACATGACCCTGCTGAAAATCTGAAGGGAACTGGCTTAATTGGGACAGTCAGGTGCAAATGGGGTGCTGTGGAACAGTTGTTCATGTCCTCCCTTCTGGAAACCTTGGAAATTCCCCTAAATCAGATCTGGCTGATGGTCTGTTGTTCACCCAAGCTGGGCATCAGTTCTTAAAGGTCTTGGGCAAAGATCTTTTCTATCACCTGTTGTCTAATCCTTCAAAGTAGAGATGCCAAGAGTTGAGCCCAGGATCTTTGGCAGGCAAAGCATGTGTTTTGCGATTGGGTGATGGAGTCTTGTCTAAAGGGGCTAAAGATAGGAGAAGCAGCCATGAAAATATATGATCACAAAATCGAATATATTTTCATTCTATCTAGCCAGGGAGTTTTTTGTGCAATCTGTTACCCCCAAGGGATCTTTGGTAGTCTATAGCACATCTCACGACTGAATTTGTCACTGTTTGGGCACGACTTCTCTGTGTGTAGTGTGTAGACTTGCACAAAATCCTGTAACGTATGGTATATGTTTTTGCACCGTTGGTTCAGACCATAGTGTTACGTTAAGCTGTTTCTCACCATCCAGCGTTTCGGTCTGAAATGAATTTGCACCATTCTATCCGTGCACGATTCTCTTTACTTTAGCACAAGCAAAGCCTGTGATTCCATATCTCACCTTTACCCCGCTCCCCTTATCCCCCTCCCAACGAACTGAGTAGGTGTGCATATAAATGCATGCAAGCAATTGGACAATGAACTATGTTTTATGCAAAACAAAACTTGGGGCTGCAATTCCCAGAGGACATGCTATATCTGTTGGGGGAAAAAGACGAATTAAAACCAGGAAAAAGAGAGGATGAAAGCAACATAGGATGGAAAGCACTGTGAATGTTGCATTATACCTCCTTTTTCCAAGCTATGCTATTCCTATCTTCCATTTTCTGCATCTTGCATTGTATGGAAACCTGATACTGGGTGATGAATTTGGACTCCTAGAATTTCAGTTTGTCTTTTTCCTCCTTAAAGCACATGTTTAGCTCTCTAGCTTAGGGCTGGAACTAGAGAAATATTTCAGATTCCTAGCCCCTAGCATCAAATTACTAGGGGGCCATGCAGTTTTCCAAGTGCTATTTTAAAAGAGTTATTACTGTATTGATTCACAAAACCAAGCTCTTGGGGCCAAAAAGAGTTTTGGTATTTTTCTTAAAATAACCGTTTGAATATCCTCCTTTCTATGATTTTGCTGCCTTCTGTATTACATATATCAATTGGATAGTAATCACCCTCCCTTCTCAGAATGTTTCAGCTGCAAGGATTCAGAAGAAAACATTGCTAGCATCCTCTCTACTAATGTACCCTCGAGTTTGGCACGAAATGGAACTGGAGAAGGATGCTTTGAGTACTGTTGCTTTCTTTTCGATGTCAAGGCCCCCTCTGTGGTTTTGAGTGCAACTGGGGCAATCAACATGCACATTTTCACACTAAGTCAAATCTGATGTTCCTAAGCAAAACACGATGGGTAATGCTTGTGAAATTCTCCACCTCCAGATTTCTTCTCACTCTGCATTTTCATTTCAGAATGAGGCTGAGCTAATTTGGGAGTAATATATCTCCATTGCATTATATAAACCCCGAAGAGGTGCTGTCGTTCAGTGTAGTGGACAGTAGTGAAATCTGATGTACCTTCCGTGAGTGGCATTGCTTATGCGTATGGATAAAACATTACTAAAAAGGCAATTTTGAATTGATGGGATTCACAGTCCAGCATTTGCCACCAGCCAGGGGATCAAGGACATATGCCTTCCACGAAGAACATCATGGTTAGACCTTCCTCCTTGCAGTCTGGATTGGAAACAGTTAATCTAAGAGAAAGTAAAAGTTATAATGCAAGAATTCCAGCAAGTACTCTACTTTCAAATAGGGCACCTATATGTAGGCAATTTAAGGGTGGCAGAACTCCTGTGTGTTTTATTCTGCTCTTTCTATGCTGGACACCTGGCTGTTTTGAGAAGGAGGGATAGATTGCACCTATTCACTGTTTAAATAAACGTCAGCCTCTTTATCAGTATGAGAATTAATTAACTCTCACATTTGTGGCATAAACAAGGCCACCTTGCCCCCATCTGTCAGCAAACTTGCTTTCAACTTCCCATTCCTTTGCTCTTTTGTGTATTTTTTTTTTTTTAGATTGTGAACCAACGGCTAATATATGAGAATAATACAACTCCTATTAATAATAATAGCCACCCTGATTTTAGAATGCTGGAAAGGAAGCTATAAGGAAGAGCTTTCTGAATAGCCGGAAATTGCCAAAGAGTTGAGGGAGAAAGAGTGGCTGGGTTCATATAATATTCTAAACCCTGGTTAAGAAAACTCGGCTGTTATAATTCAGATAATATGCTGTACCAAAAAAATAAATTATATTATGGCATCCTCCAGTTCACTTTGTATGCAGAGACAATGGCTGTGTTCCCACACTGCTCTGAAACTACCCAACCCAATTTTAGTCTAGCCTAGTGTCTTGATGAATGGCAAGGGATGAACACCTGTTAGTTGTCGTTTTGATGATAATTCACAAGTTCTTTGAAAACAGCTGTCTCTGCCTCTTCTAACTTTGTAAAGTTATTTTCTGCCTGTGTCAAGATGTGATAGATGCAAGACCAAATCATCTGTGAAGCATAGTGTGTAGCTTGGATCTACATCTTAATGAATCATCAACACCTATTTTTTGAAGAAATGTGTTTGAGATCTTACTTTTGGACAGACTCTTTCCAAAACAGATATTGATTAGTGTCTTAGGTTGACTTGTTTGGGAGAGGAAAAGCTGTTCATGTTGGGCCAAGGTCTATAGTTGCTTATTTGCCATTGCCCCATTAAAACTCATAGGACTCCATGCATCATTTCAGTAGGTGGAGTAAACATTCCAAGGAGTTTTAAGGTCCTTGTTATCCATGTGAACATTTCTCCAAATCCATTTGTGGGAGCATCCACATGGGTTGTTTGGTTTTGTCTAATATTTTGGTACAAACACAGCCCTGTGTTTCTTTCTTTTGATTCTCTGAGACAAAGTTAGTACAAAGGTAGTATAGGCATTAGTCACAACAGAAGGCTGGATGTGTGTTCAGATATGGCTGGGCCATGGCAAGTTTGAAGAGGAGGTAAGTGATGCTGGCCCCAAGATACCTCTTTTTATGTGGGTGCAGTGTTACATCTGCTGTGCCCATGTCCACTGTAAGAACGAGGATGAGTGGTGTGTTGCAATACTCATGTAATTGTTCAGCTATCCAAGTCTGGAATTATCTTGGAATTGCTTTATTGCAGTGATTTGCCTGTTAAGTTATCCAGAAGTTTTCCTAGAAAGGGGAAAGGCTCTTCCCATCAGCTGGAGTTTTGTGAGTAGCCAACAGCAGGGACTGGAGAGAAGACAACTCTTCCGTGTTTCCTTAACGGGCTTGCTCAAATTCTAATTGGCCTCCTTGGATTTTTTTTAGGAGCACGTTCTGTGCAATCATTGCTCAGTTGACTGAGGAGACCCAGCCCGTCTTTGAAACAACTCTCAAATCATATGCTGTATCGAAGGATGCTGACGCCAAATTCACGTGCATTGTGATAGGTGAGTTAACACAACTGGCATGTTTGCATGGCTGCCCTGAAGAGCAAGTGTTGAATTTCTCATTTGGACCACCACAGAGGTGATACTTATCCTGTTTGGCACAAATTGTGTCCTGATGTATATTTAGAATTATATCTAACTGCCTCCTGCATCAGGGTGGACAACATGCTGCCTCTGAGCCCCAAATTTGTATGGCTTTCAGAGCCTTCTCTAGTTATATGATGGCTGAAAAATAACAGTAAATTCCCTGTCATTTTAAGGGAAAGAGGCTGTTAAAAACTGTGGTGTAATGTTAAGGCCTAAAATTGACCTCTTGCAAATAAAACAATCTGCCAAATTCTCCCTCCATAGTTTTTCTTGCCCCCTTTTCAGCCTCCCCCACTTTGAATATTCACTGTAACCTTGGCCACCAAAAGTTTCCCCGCCTCGTTCTGTCATGCATAGGATAGGCATAGCCTGTGATCACAAGAAGTATGGCTGCTAAAGCTTTTGATTTGATCTCCAGAAGTACAGCATGGATTTAGGAGAAAATTTTTAAGGAGAGCCCTTCCCGCCAGCCCAAGTTATACATCTTTTGAACCTGTTCAGCTCTGTCTTCATTCATTTTGTGTAAATAAAGTCACCTTCAAGTAATCCCTGCATGGTTTACTAAGCAACAATTCAGAAGTGATTTGGTCATCACCTTCTTGGTTTTCAAACAATTCAGAAGTGATTTTGCCATCACCTTCTTGGTTTTCAATGTCCCAGGTTGGGACTGAACAATTAAGTCATCTCCCATCCAAGTAGTAACCAAGTTTGACCTTGCCTGGTTTTCAAGCCAAGAGAAAGTCTTCTTGGTGCAGCCACTTGAGGAGATCAAATATTACACAGGTATGTAGTTGTCTAGGCACTTCATTATTAATATCACCACTATTACTATAATAATGAGTAATTATTACACCCATCGGCCAATGACCCAAACTTCTCTGTGTTTATTTACTCTAATATTTATGGGCAATCTACTTCCTTTGTCTGATAGGGGAATGGTTTATGGCCAACTCTTCAATTTCATGCTGCTTCTTTTGTGGTTGTGGTGGGAAGAATTCCCCAAAGATCCTGACCAAATAGCTCTTGGAGGTATTATGGATTTCTCTTGACAGACCACAATAAAAGCTTGCAGATTGGAGCTGTTCTTTTGATAACAGCCTGGTTCTTTCTCCTTGAGATAAGCCTTCCACGAGTGGGAATATTTCACAAGGATGCTATCACCTCCTTTCTTGGGTTAACCCTTCAGACTGAATCCTTAAGCAGCTGCTTAGACCAGAATGTGGAGGCTTTGGGCTCCTTAAATAAAATGCCTTCTGCCTCAGGTTTTCCTGCTACAGTCACAAGGTTCTTCCCTTTTCCCACCTCTTTTCTACCAGTCTTTGGGGGTGGGGAAGAAAATAAACAGATACTGCTTTTTTTAAAATCTTATCCTTGAAAAATAAATCTCTCTAAATCAGAAAAGACTTATTTTATTATTTGCTCTGTCTGGGGCACCAAGATTTCCTTTTCTTTTTCCTTCCCCTGTCCTTCTTTTGGTGCAAAGTGCATTTGCTCTGTCTCTGATTTGATTTTACTACGAACTGTCTCTGGTCTTCTGTAACCTTCTTACTTCATGTCCTGATCAGAGCTCTCTGCCCTTTTACTGGTCCTAGAATACCTCTGATGACTGCAAACTCCGTCTTCACCCTAGTTGCTTTGATCAGTGGCTGATATTTTAAGCGCGCCGCTCTCCCCATAGCCAAGTAAAAATAACAGCTTCTGGATTCATGTTTGACCTCCCCCACATTTTCCAACAATTTATAGTCTCGATACCCTGTCCATATAAAGGGTTTCCTTCCGTTTGGATGGCGGGGCAGTTCTCCCTTTAGAAATTCTTTCTACCATTTGATAACTACTGATATTCTTCAGTGAAACAATGAGACAGAATATGCAAGACCAGTGAGTTATAGATGGTGGTTAGAATCATGATAGTTTGACTCTGTCTTCGCTCACCCAAAAGCTGTTTCTGATTATAGGGTCAACCAGGTCATGGATAGACCTAGGAGATGCATTCACACAACATGCTAAGCTTAATTAGTGTTAATCTTAGCTTTTTGTGTGTGTATGTGGCTTAGCTGGTTGCATAAACTCAATGCACTTGATGAGTTTATGACTCAGTGTAGTGTGCAAACCCAGAAACGGATTAATAAAGTAACCAATGTAAGTGCATTGTGCAAACACAGTGTAAGAGTTGCCTTCTGCAGACAGCACATGTGTGCAAGGGAATTTATTATCTATTCATCATTCTACCTTGACAAAATCCAAAGGTTCTGGCAATAAAACAGCAATAAAAAGCCTAAAACAATGATGGCAAACCTTTTGGGCTTGGCATATCAAACATTTGGAAAATGCCTATCTCGATTCTGCTGGCATGTCACCCCCCGCCAAATGAAAGAGAAACAATTCTTTATATATTCATGTATTTAAAAAAATACAGTCCAATCATGTGTAGTGCTATGTAATATATAAAGAAACGTCAAATAATTACAAAAATGAAATATGAGTAAAACAAACTCCGTTTCTTTGGTAATTCAGACAGGCAGAATAGTTGTTGTCCGGGGTTGGTGAATGCTGGCATGTCACCTAAAACGTCGTGGCATGTCACCTTTGACACATGTGTCATAGGTACGCCATCGCTGGCCTAAAACGATACATAATAAGCAAAAAGTACAATAAAAGGTCAAACTAGTGTCCCCTTTGTTTTAATTATCAGACAGTGCCAATCAACATAGAGCCACCTCAACTTCTAAATGCCTTCTCACCTCAACCTTAGGTTTCTCAACCTTAGTCACTTCAAGAAGTGTGGACTTCAACTCCCAGAATTCCCCAGCCAGCATGGCTGGCTGGGGAATTCTG